ACAAAAAAACGAGAGAGCAGAATGAATCTTCTGCTGAAACATGGAACCATACACCGCCATATGCTATGTCTTTTGTGCATTTGATGAGTAGTGGAACAGGCCCCACTGGATGTATTCGTATGAAAACAAAAACAAAAAAACGAGAGAGCAGAATGAATCTTCTGCTGAAACATGGAACCATACATCGCCATATGCTATGTCTTTTGTGCATTTGGTGAGTAGTGGAGCAGGCCCCACTGGACGTATTCGTAAGAAAACAAAAACAAAAAAACGAGAGAGCCACGGGCATCTTCATCCTTACCCATAACTGCCAACATGCGGACCTGAACGCCAATCTTCAGCATATATTGGTGGTCGGCTGGCGATAGAACATGCAATTTGCGACTTCTGCGAGCTTCGCGGGCCAGGTCGTTATTAAGTGACTACCCCTTCTTGCGAATTGACCCCACTACTGTGTGGGATTTGCAGAAGGCAGCGGGAAGGACAACTCTCATACCCCGCCTAAAACAAAAGTTGGAATGAGCCCTATTTTGTGCTTCGCCGTTCGAAACTTTTTGGGGAAGGGCCTGCGCAAACCGAATTTTCAGCAGCCCTTAGCCAAAAGAAAAGTTCGGGCTGTGGGCGCAGCCGGTTTGTGAACTTGCGCGGTGAGTTTAACATTGTTGCCGAGTTGGGGGCCCTAGGAAATTAGAAAACCCCTACTTTTTTTTTTTTTTTTTTGGACCTAATTTTTCAAGTGCGCTGTGCGGTGCGCAGCGCGACGTGCGCAAACCGTGCGCAAACCGGCGCACCGACGTGCGCCGCAACTATGGTATGTATGTATGTATGTATGACATTGTATGTAAATATGTATGTATGTGTGACATTGTATGTATATATGTATGTATGTATGTATGCATGCATGCATGTATGTTTATATGTAATATGCGTGTATGCGTATATGTGTATGTTTGAGGGGGAACAAGGCCTCCGTGATTGCATCACGTCATGTTGCGTTGAAAGGTACATCATGTAAACAAGACTCAAAACCAGAGTCTGCAGCCAAGCATGCTCATCGGAATGCAAACATTCGAATACCACAAAGCGCAGAAGAGCAAAGGGAAAAAACACAAGGACGAAGTTGGGAAAAAAAAAGAGAAAAAAAAAGAAAAGAAAAAAAACGTATAAGGAACCAACCGATAAGAACATGAATTTTCCAGCAGCGAAAGACTCGAAAGAGTCGAAACATTACAAGCATATGAGAGCATAATCGAAAGGAGAATTACAAAGCCGAGGCACACCAAATGAGATCACAATCAGTAAAATGACCCAGGTTCAAATACAGCACAAGGAACATACATCCAAAGTCTGCATCAAGGCCAGGCATGAGAAATAGGTCTGTAGGGTCCCATAGTCCATCAGAATGGCCCTCAATCCTACAGAATATGGTCTAAGTCCGTGTCTCAGTCAAAATGGTATCCAGACCCCTACAGAGTCAAGGGATGGGGTAGAACCTGAGGTGCAAAGTCAAGGGTTGAATTCGAGGAGGTTCATTGCAGTAGTCACCGAGTCTTAGATCTCTCTCTCTCTCTCTCTCTCTCTCTCTCTCTCTCTCTCTCTCTCTCTCTCTCTCTCTCTCTCTTTCTCTCTCTCTCTCTCTTTTTCTCTAATAGATGAGGGAGATGGAGATCAAGGAGGAGGAGATAACCATTGCACAAGGGTTGGCAAGCAGGTGTAGGAAGCTTACCTGTTGACTGGCGGCCATAGCTGCCTGAGGGCGAAGACCTCAAGAGGAGGGAGACCCACTCATGCACACAAAGTGGCACCCGTGGAGGCTAAAGACCCTACTAATACCAGCCAGGGGGATCAAGCTGACTATCTCAGCTGGTGGGCACACACCAAGCGTGCGCCAGGCCGTCATGGGGATTGAACCGTAATCTTCTGAATGCCACTTGCATTGGCTTTTTTTGTTCTTTTTCGTTGTTTTCTGGTCGATGAGCCTGCCATCCCCCGGAGCCAGGCCCACTTGCCGAAATTCTTCATTGCTGACCGTCCTTCAATATAGAAAAATAGGAGGCGCGTGCGCATGTGTGTGTCTGTGTCTGTGTCTGTGTCGTGTGTGGGTGGGTGTGTGGGTGTGTGGGTACGTGTGGGTGCGTGGGTGTGGGTGGGTGTGCGCGCGTGTGTGTGTGTGTGTGTGTGTGTGGATTGCTGACTGATTTCTTGGTTGGTTGATTGATTGATTGATTGATTTATAAAGCAAGATAAAAGAAAGAGGGAAAAACGAAACAAAACAAACTAAAAAAAACCCGAAAAAATGAGGGGCCACTCAATACATCTGACCTCCGTTTCTTGTGTCGTTTTTAGTGTTTTCTCTTTTTCTTGTCAGAATGACATGAAATTTGGCAGGCACAGAGTTTATGAGCACGGGAATCACACCTCCCCCCCACCCTAAAGAAAAAGTCAAGCCTCCAAAATGACTTCTCCAGGCCCCAGCCCGTGAACATCCGGGGCTCCCAAACGCCCGGAACAGTTCTGATGTTTGCATGAGCGGATTAGACCGCTCCCCCGAATGTTCGGGCCGGTAACACTGTACCACAGTGTTTATTAGCTATAATCGTGTTTGCCCTGTATCTGTCATTTCTTGAAAAACCGATTCACTGTCCGTGTGTGTTCGAGGGACACGATCAGGCACTGACCTACTATGTCATGTGGGTGAAGCTGCGCTGGCCCTGCTTGTTTTTTATTCATGATAAAACGTCGAGGCACACCGCAACAGGACGGAGGGGAGACGGACAGAAGCATGTGGATTGCTCCATTTTCGGAACTGTTGGCGTTGTCTGGAGATTCGTCAACAGGACACACACAGAGAAAAGGAACAGATGGACACTGGAAATGTTCTTGACAGTGGAGTTCAAACGAAATCTCTCTTTGTATTTGTTTCTTTGAGAAATGAAATGTTTCTCTCTCTCTCTCTCTCTCTCTCTCTCTCTCTCTCTCTCTCTCTCTCTCTCTCTCTCTCTCTCTCTCTCTCTNTCTCTCTCTCTCTCTCTCTCTCTCTCTCTCTCTCTCTCTCTCTCTCTCTCTCTCTCTCTCTCTCTCTCTCTCTCTCTCTCTCTCTCTCTTCCAAATCTGTCTTTCTCGCGGCATGCCTCTTTGTCTCAGCCTCTCTGCTGAGAGTATGCATGCCTCTGTGTCTCAGCGTCCCTCTTGTGAGAACATGCCAAATCATTGTTTTCTCTTTGTATATAAACACATCAGCCAATTGTGGACCACAAGAAAGAATAGAGTGAAACTTTCACACCCTTGGTGATTACTCGAGTCCTCTCCGCACTGTACGAGATAGTCAGTCACCTATCATACGGCTCTCCAACTCAACTTGCGATTAGGATAGATAGGTATTTCTGGATATAGGCCCCTTTCTCCCTGAAGTGGGCGATGCTGAGTATAAGCTTATTATCAGACACTTTCTAGCTGCTTATTTTATTTATGTATGTGCTCATCCATGCGTCCCCCCGGATGCGGGGGTGGGGTTAGTGTCTTATTGGCTGCCTGACATGGCGTTGAAATTCCATGTCCATGCCTCTCTTTGTCTGAAAGGATATTAAATATACAGTTTGCCCCTCTCCTCAGAGCACGGCGTCGATGGCAGCTGCAGTTCAAATTACTGTTCTTCTTCTTCTTCTTCTTCTTCTTCCTCCTCCTCCTCCTCCTCTTCCTCCTCCATTCCTCTTCCTCTTCTTCACCCCTAAAAAGAATTCTAACCTTCAAAGTTTTATTGCGGAACCCCTTGTCTATCGTGAAACTGTGGGGGGAAAAGAAAAAAACGCCCTGTAGTAAACACAGAACCTGCGGGCCTCGGGGAATTTGTTGCTGGGCCTATTGGGAAGCGTCTTCCGGGGGGCGGCTTATGCATTACGTAGGATGTGGATATAGATATACATAGATAAGATGATGGGCGAGATGATGAGAGGGAAGGTAATGGAGGCCAGATGAGGGAGAGATGATATTTGGTTCACAAGAACTTCACCTGTATTTATCCTCTTTTATTCGTCATTCTTCTTCCTTCGTTGTCTTCTTCTTCTTCCAATCTCTTTCGTCTGAGTTGCAATTGAACGGCATTGTGACTCTGTCAGTTTTGCATGGGGAGCTGACCAGGATCATAGCATCCTTTGTATTCAGGTCAAGAAAAGCTTGAGGGAGATGCTATACCTGTCTCTTATACACATCTAGATGTGTATAAGAGACAGATGCTATACAGGGTAAAGGGGAGATGGCTGTGCTCTGCTCACAGGAAGAATAGTCTAATAGGCAAGCAGCCAGAGAATGAAGAGCTGTTCTGTCCTACCGCATTCGGCGGCCTTGGTATTCATGTCAAGGAGCTCGAGCGAGATGCTATACAGGGTAAAGGGGAGATGGCTGTGCTCTGCTGAACAGACGATGTCACAGGAAGAATGGTCTAATAGGCAAGCAGCCAGAGGGTGCAGAGCTGTTCTATCCTACGACATGTCGTACGAGAGCCAGAAGCCAGAACCTGACAATCTTGATGGAATTGGTGTGCTGTCGCGCGGCTCGCGCTGCTGCATTATTTATCCCAATGAAAAAGAACTGAAAGAATGTGGATTGTGTGTGGGTGTTGTGCAGGTACCTACCTTCGCTTAAGATTTTATTCACTTTCCCACAGACTTTGGGCATTTTAGGTGGGAAACCAGGAGCCTCAACCTACCTAGTTGGATATCAGGGGGATCATGCCCTCTATTTGGATCCACATGAAGTGCAACAGGTATGATCCATCCTATTCCTGTCGCATTCACTACTAGTAGGGCACTTGTGACCTTTATGTTTCTTGTTTTTGTCCACATGTTGTTTTCATTTTATATGTAACGAGTACTAATGACACACAGAATCAGTCTGAGATTTATGCTGTTTTCTGAGTGGTACTACTTGATGGTTTGATTTGCTGAGATTCCGGTTTCGTGCGTGAGAATGCTGTTTGCTTGCATGTGTCTAAGTCCCTAGGGCTTTTTCAGTAATGCAGGCAGGCCCATGTAAAGCCCGGTAGGCCTGGGTGGGTCCAGTAGACTCCGAAAGAGAGTCCAGACCCGTATCTGGGTAGGTTTTAGGCTAGATACGGGCCCAGTAGCAGGATTGCAGGCTGCGTAGATGTTCCCGCCTAGAAACAGGAACTTGATGTTGGCCTAGCTGGTCGGCGGACGCCGACCCGCTAGAGGAGTAGGAGGCCGAGTCGCAAGAGTATATCATTCAGGCACATTGCCCTGTCTTACCCGGCAATCATGCCGCTGCTCCGCCGAGAGGGTGAAAGTAGGCGGAGCTCTGGCTGAGCAATGGATCTAGAGGGTGGAGAAGAAGACCTCCGCTGAGAGGGTGAAGGTAGGCGGAGCTCTGGCTGAGCGATGGATCTAGAGGGTGGAGAAGAAGACCTCCCTGCCTATGCTGGTCAGGTGTTATGAGGGAGTCGGCCTTGGTTATGCAGGTAAAGTGTGAAGTGCCCCATGCCAGGCTATGGAGAAGGGTGAGAGAAGGGTGAGAGAAGGGTGAGGAACGGACATGAGCAACTTACCTGTGGCTATGGTTGACCTGCATCTTCACTTCCTTGGCGCTGCATCTGGAAGGCCCCTGTATGGGCTCCGGTTTGTCTTGGACTTCAACGGAGAGTATGGCTATGGTGGAAGGAGATAGGAGAGGCGGAGTAGAGATTGCAGTGTCCTCTGAACATCCATGACGAGCATGGATATTCCGGCATAGTGCTAGTTGCAACTCGAGAGAGCGAAGTTAGGTTATGGTCGTGGAAAGGAGGGCTCTTTGAGTGCTGACAATAAGGGGGATTACTGGGGTACATGATTCCTTCTCATTCATTCAGTTGTTGTTATAAGAGAATGAGGAGTAAGCGAGAAGAAGATGGGAGGAGGAAGAAGTGAGGGGGAAGGCATTCGTTCAACTTGTGCTATTCTTCTTCTTTTATTCTTTTCATCCTCTCTCTCTCTCTCTCTCTCTCTCTCTCTCTCTCTCTCTCTCTCTCTCTCTCTCTCTCTCTCTCTCTCTCTCTCTCTCTCTCTCTCTCTCTCTCTCTCTCTCTCTCTCTCTCTCTCTCTCTCTCTCTCTCTCTCTCTCTCTCTCTCTCTCTCTCTCTTCACTTCTTCTTTTGAGTTTCAGCCATTCTTTCATTTTCTTGCAATTTGAGGTTTGCATATCACTTTTTAGGATCATGATAACATATAATTTTAACCATGTACCTGCCCTCCTGGGCAGGTCATGTTCATGTGCTTTCTCTTTTGTTTTTTTTTGGCGAAATTGCTCCTGCGCACTGTTTAAATGTGTAAGAAATTCCCTTTGTACCTAGTCCCAGTGCGCAACTTGCGTCTATACACAGGAAATGGCCTTTGGAAATTATATCCATGCCTGGGACGGAGGTGGGCCCAGGTTGTTACCACTTTATTGCGGTCATACCCAGGTCCCAGTGCCCGACTTGCGTCTATACACAGGAAATGGCCTTTTGAAATTATATCCATGCCTGGGACTGAGGTGGGCCCAGGTTGGTACCACCTTATTGCGGTCATACCCAGGCAAAGAATGTGCATACCCAATTTTGCCTGCCTGTTTTTGGGCATGATGCCATGGGCATAATTTTGTGGCCCTGTTGGACAAGGTACCGCTATAGTTCGGTGCATAGGAAAGGCACTGTAGATTTCCCTCTTATACTCTCTCTGGGGCAAAATCTACAGTATTAAGGCGCGGTAGAGGCTCGGTGAGAAGCGGCCGACAGACTCCTGAATGATGAACAGTACCTGAACTGGGTTCATCTCATGGGCGGAGCAAAGAAAAAAGCTGTTGAAACAAGAGCAGTGGGGGGACACAAGGCCTCGATCCATTACCCAACACTCTACATGCATTTGAACGCTTTCTGAACCAAGTGCATTCGGACGAGTCCAACACTTCTGAATGTATTGGTTCCAGAAAGCGTTCAAATGAATGTAAAGTCTTCTGTGCTGGAGCGAGGCCCATAGTTGTACCCATCTCGTCGTGCCGCATCATTGCGACCTTGATGGCTTCTTGACAACAAGCGGACGCACTGTGGATCATTCATTTCAAAGGGCGGATACGATGTGCACGCGTGGACATGAGAGAGAGAGAGAGAGAGAGAGAGAGAGAGAGWGAGAGAGAGAGAGAGAGAGAGAGAGAGAGAGAGAGAGAGAGAGAGAGAGAGAGTGGGTTTGTACTTTGCTGATTGTTTCTTGGTGCAGTACTTTGCTGATTGTTTCTTGGTGCGAGGATCTCATCCTCGGTTGGCCCTTATGATGGGGACCCTAATGCAAGCATGTGCTCGCCTTAAGTGAAGGCGGGCCCCTGAACCTCAACGAGGCCTGAGTACCACAATTTTGCAGGCCCTGGTGGGGCGCCAGACAGTTACCACGCGGCAATTGGTTACATGTGCTCTGCGCGTGAGCACCGGAAACTTCCACGAGCCTTCTCTGCTTTTCTGGCTACATCGGCGAAGCAGGTCTTTCGGCCTATCATAGAACAGGGAACACATCACAGGGTCCTGGGTGGTTGGGTGCGCCTAACCGCTTCGGGGCCCAGGCAACTCTCTGAACGGGCCTGGGCACAGACACCCTGGCCCGGCCTGAAGCTACTCGGCACAGGCAGGGCCACAGGCCAAGCAGCCTTCGAGCCAAACCACTTTGCGTATAGCAAAGTGCCTGGCCGTCGGGAGGGCATTCACGCACTCGGCTGTGCAACTGGCAGCGCTGCTGGAGCTATTGCTCACGCGTGCTAGCTAGCACTGAGTGCTGGGACGCATGCACAGAGGCGGGGTGGAGTTGGGAACTGCTTGAATGCAGCGACACAGCCCAGCCGTCATAACCAGGCTTGGGCTCGGGGGTGGTCAGCAAGGATAGGCGGTGGTCCTTGGTTGGAGAAGGAGCGTGGGGGAGAAGACAAGGGTGAGCAAAGAGGGCGAGTGGGGAGGTGATGTGAGAGCACGTACCTGGTCCTTATGGAGGTCTGCATGTACTTCGGTTGCTGCTGCTGACGTCAACTGGTTGCTTTGTGAATTTGATAGACTACCGTCTTCCCCTGAACACAACGCACCCTCATCTTGGCTGTACCGGACCGGAAATATAGCTTGCATACGTTCAATTTCAGGGCGCATTACGTTCGGGGGAAGACGGTAGTGCAGTAGCTGTAGGATCGTAGTCTGGGCGTTGAGCGCCAGTAGGAGGAAAGAGCTTCGAGTACATTGTTGATGGCGGTGAGAGAGGCTTTCATTGACAATCGAGTTCGCTGCTGTGGTTCTCCTTCGGTGTGATATCAGTGCATTTCTGCTCTGGACAGCGTACGAGTATCTGGCTTTCAATGTGATTTGTAATTTGTGATTTTGCAATTTGGAAATTCTGTCATTTCGCTATTGCTCATTTTCCTTGCATTGGCATCTTGATTTCCAGATTGTCCATAATGTCAATATGCTCTCAGCCTCTGCTTTTCTTGTTCAGTCTGCCCCGTCCCTTTTTGCCTGCTGCAACATTACTCGCCCCTGTGGTTGTTTAGCGCCTTCCCTCTCCCATTTTGTTTTATCCACTCTTTTGCATGTGTAATATTGTGCATGTCCCCCTTAGTGCCGGCATCTGGTATCTGTCGCTGTTTCCATCCGCCCTTTTGCATGTGTATGTCCCCGGTAGTGCAGGCATCTGAAATCTGTCCTCTCTTCACCCATGCTCCCGATTTGTCTCCCCTACCTCCTCCATCACATCCTCCTCTTTCCTGAGCTGATTTCGTTTTATTTCGCAGTTTTGTTCAGGATGGTAGTCCTCCATTTCTTCGCTTTTGCTCAGCATGTCAACAAGGGTTGGGTGTCAATGGGACCTTCCCAGATCCTTTGAAACTATCACAGTCTGGATTTTGAAAACTATTGCAAACATTAACAAGCATGTATCGTTAGTGGATGATTTTTGTTACAATGTCTGTTCAACTCTATCGTTGTGTGATCAGTTGCCACGCCAATGAACTGTTGAAATACAGACCCAAGTTCCAATCCTGATGGACCTAGATGTATGCAATGCAATGATTCTGAATCACCTGGGGTTGGTCAACTCGATGATGATATCTCAACGCCATCTCCCTTTACAAAAAAATAAAAAATAGAAAAATAAAAAACAAAAAATGTGATGATTGATATTGGTTCAGCATACATGCTGGTAACCACAGGCTAACGCATCTTATAGCTTAGCTTGACCCCGAGTGCCATCTGCATTCTGGTTCTGAGTTCGACCTTCGATCCCTGAACCCTGCTTGTCTGTTGTCCAAGCAGCCAACAACACTGCATTGTTACTTTTACAGTCTGTCTTTTGTCAGTTTTGAAAGTATCGCAACCATTTATTCATTGTCATGTTCCATGACTGGACAGTTTTTTGTCACAACGTCTATTCGACTCTATTGTTCTTGTCATGATATTTTTGCTCAGCCTACACTCAAGTAAACACAGGCTAATATCTTATAGTCCGAACTTCGAACCCTGAAACCCGAACCCTGCGCGTCTGTCGTCCAAGCATGTTGATTGTGACAACGCAGCGCACAGCTCCAGCCAGACCTTTCTGACGGCGCTTTGTTTCTTTCTCTGCTGTGCACATCCTGTTGTTGCTGTCGTCGCATGTGCATGTAATAAAAAAATCAGGTCGTGAACATTACGGTCGATGATCTTGACACAGATACGAGCTCTTATCATTGCGGGTAAGTGTGCAGAGCTGCAAACACTCGCTCTTGCCTTCATCATTTCATTCCATGTCTCTCTCTTTGTGGGCTTTTTGTTCTTTTCTCTCTGTCTCACATCCTATTACTGTCATTGCATCAATTTGCATGTGCGTATACCCCCCATCGTTCGGGGGTCTCAACAGGCGTGCTCACACTCAAACCCTCTCACAGACAGATCATGGGTGGCGGATGGTGCACCCGCGGAGGGTTCCCGCCACTCAGGTTTCTTCCGCCTCGTGGGTATATACTATATACTCAAAAGAGTCAAAACAGAGTCATCGCATGTGCATCAGGTCGTGAACATTATGCTTGATGATCTTGACACAGATACGAGCTCTTATTCATTGCGGGTAAGTGCAGAGCTGCAAACACTCGTTCTTGCCTTTGTTTTGTATACGGCCAAAAAGACCAGAAACTGCATTCGTCTCGGCAGCATTGTGCGGATCTGTGCAGTTCTTCTCGTGTTGGATTGAATGAGAATGTGCCGGGGAAGACCTTGGTTGGGAGAAGTGTCCCATGCATGCTCGGTCTGATACGCCTCTTGGTCAGTTGAATGCTCCTTCGCAATGTTACCGGTGGACCGCCGGCACCCCTGAAGGGGGGTCTACCTCGGTGAAACAAACCTCCTGCGGTAAAAATCTTTTTTTTTTTTTTTTTTGTGCTGCTATCTGGTCGGCCTGGACTGGCTCTGGCTGGCCGGGTACCCATGCAGGGGGTTTCAGGCAGAGGGTTCAAAGTGGTCCCGGCACAAGTATTTGAAGAATAGAGAAAAAGAGAAATATTTCAAAGAAGTCCAGAAAAAAAAATGTTGTCTAAACTTGCAATGCAAAACAGCTTTTTGGCAGAGAGTCACCTTGAAAGTTGAAATTCTTTACTTGCGATTCAACCACCAGTACTTACGCGGCTCCGCGCAGCACGTTTCTTTTTCTCCGGGGCTGGAAACGTGCTGCGCGCTGAAAAAGAAACAAGTCGGTGCGGACCTCCTTTTGGCTGACGTCGCCAGCCATTTTGATCCGTCAGCGGAGCCCCGAAAGTTGTGGCAGCATGCACGCCACGACTTCGAAAAAATGGCTGGGAAACGTATTGGCAGGTTAAAATAAAATTTAAAATGAGAGTAGAGCATAGTTGTGGCCCACCAGTGCGCAGTGCGGGGCGGGGCGGTGCGCGCGCACTGTGCGCGGTAAATATATATATATACTATGGATATGGTGGAAGGTTTGTTTTGTGAATGAGAATCTTGTTTGCTTCGATTCCGGTTGGCCTTGTCCCGTTATCTGGTCTATCTTAGGGAGGGATGGCGGTGCTTCATGTGGGATTGGTCATCTGGTTATCGTTCTGCAGGCGAGTGTGTTTTGACATCCTGGTTGGTCTTGTCCCATCGTTTGGCCTGTCGTTGGCGGGGGCGGTGCTTGTATGTGGGACTTGTCATCTAGGATTGTCAATTAGGATTTGTTTTAATTTTGTTTGCTTCGATTTTGTTATTGGGCATCCTGGTTGGTTGTTTCCCGCTGTTCGGCCTTTTGAGTGCGGGGCGGTGCTTGTATGTGGGAATCGTCATCTGGGATTGTCTTCTTTTTTAAGTTGTCACACTGTGATCAAGGGCGCAGGAGCCTTTCTTTATTTTCTTTGTAGATAAGAATGTTTTGATATCCTGGTTGGTCCCGTCCCGTCGTTTGGCCTGTGAGTTGCGGGGCGGTGCTTGCATGTGGGACGTGTCATCTGGGATTTGTTTTGTTGCCCCCTGTTCTGTATTATTTGGCTGTTCCCTTTCTCTTTTCTTTGCCTCTTTGCCTTCTGGCTGTGTGCAAGTGGGTCGATATGACACACGGGGGTGGGGGCAGCCGCCGCTCAACCTACATCCACGTGGGCGGCCTTGTACGCAAGAGGTTCTGAACATGGGGAGTTATAAGGAAGAAGATAAAAAATTGAAATTAATATTCCCTGGTTTTCTTTTCTCCTTTTTTCTCTTTTTTTCGCATTTGCGCTCTGATATTCTTGTGACAATATCTATATATATATATAGTCGGTGAAACTCCGACGAAGCAGTTTGTCACAGCCCCTCGTTTGTTGTCCTCTTCTCCCACTCTGCCTACGGTTTACCGGGCAGTTCTGTTTGACGATGAGGTTGGTCTCCGAGCAGCTTCGGCCTGCTGCTCTGAGCAAATTGCAGCAGTGGCACTCAGCTGTTCTCACACGTTGCCAAAGCAACATCTCATCCCCCCATATTACTACACGACAACCGCACTCTCTTCACTCAGTGCACAGGGCTTTGAGACACCTTCAACAACACTTTGCTATTGTTCCTGTCGACAAGACCTCATATAACTTAGCAATCTGTTGTAAAAATTGGTACCTGTCTCATCTATCTGCTCATTTGGACAGCCCTACCTGTGATGTGCCTCTTGAGTCTGTCGCAGATATTCTGGAACATCACGCGCTCTGGAATCATCGGTGGGGATATACACACAAAGACACGCTGCCATATTTGTACTATGCACTTAAAGCACATAAATCGCCCCCTGGGCTTCGCAGTATTGTCGGCGTCACAGAGCGGAATAATCTCTCCTTGCTGCAACGATCTCGATCAACTGCGCCATCTGTTCATGCAGTCCACCATCGACCTCCCCACAAACCCTTGGCCAGTACTACCGTCACTTCTGCCCGCCCCAGCGTTGCACTACAAGGAGTCGTTGAAACTCTTCGTGAGAAGGATAATGTGTTGTATCAGCAAAGCGGTGTGAGACGGTGCTGGATCGTGCAAAGTGCCGAGGAGGTGATGCTTGATCTCAAACGTAACTCCTCCTCTTCGTGACCATGCTCCTCGCACTGTTGATTTCACAACTATGTATACCAATCTTCCTCGTGACCGTATTTGTCATAATGTTTCAAAAGCGGTCGAGGAAGCCTATACATATGCCTTACAACAGCACACACAGGGGCGCACACATCCTCCTTCCCTTAACATGATTGTTAAAGGGCCTCGTCAAGGGGAGTGGACGGTTGATACCGGACCAAACACCTTGACCATTTCCCAAATTCTTGAACATCTCCATTTCATTGTCACAAACACTTATCTTTATGCAGCGGACAGCACCTTGCGACATCAGTTGATTGGCATCCCGACGGGGACTAATTCTGGTCCGGGGATAGCTAATTTGACGTTGTATTGGGATGAGGCTCGATTTGTTGATGACCTCCAGCGGCGTGATCTTCGCGCAGCTCAACGGCATGCGTTCACATACCGCTTGATCGATGATGTTCTCTCATGGGGACATCTGCCACCACCGTCAGAGCACTATGGCCTCGAATGGAAGGAGACCACAGCGCCTGATGACTCTTGCACATTCTTGGGTGCACGCCTCCAAGTCCGCCCTGACGGCTCCCTGCGTATGAGTGTCTTTGACAAAGCAGCTGAATGGAATTTCCCTGWTATTCGTTATCCTAGTGCTACATCTAACGTCCCTGCACACCAGCCGGCGGGAGTGTTTACAGGCCAACTTACTAGGTTTGAGTATGTCTGCAACAACTGGTATGATTTCAAAACTGCAGCAGCGATGCTCACACGCCGCATGCTTTTTCGCGGGCACTCTCCAACAACGCTTGCGAAAGGATGGACTTCCTATATTCGTAAACGTCAACACAGGTACCCTGCGCATGTGACCCGCCTCTCCAGCTGGTTCAACAACATGCTTCGATGGTCTATTCATCACCCGCTTTCTCGGGTATCTACACACTGTCCTCGGCCTATGCCTGTCACAACCCCTTCTTCATTATCGGCGCCTGTCACACCTATCACAGCCTCTTCTTCATTACCTGCGTCTGCCGCACCTGCGTCCTCATCAGTCTTAGTAACCCCTTCCATGCCGTTTGTGACCCTGGCTGCCCCTTTTCGATTCGCAGCCTCTTCCTCATCGGCCTTGGTTGCTTCTACGATTGATTCCGCGGGGGCAACTCGACCCGCAGCTGCTGTGTCGCCTTTGGTCTCGGTGTGTTCCTCCATGGCATCCGTGGCCACCGCAGTCGTTGTGTCGCCCTTGGTCTCGGTGTGTTCCTCCATGGCATCCGCGTCCTCATCAGTCTTAGTAACCCCTTCCATGCCGTTTGTGACCGTGGCTGCCCCTTTTCGATTCGCAGCCTCTTCCTCATCGGCCTTGGTTGCTTCTACGATTGATTCCGCGGGAGCAACTCGACCCGCAGCTGCTGTATCGCCTTTGGTCTCGGTGTGTTCCTCCATGGCATCCGTGGCCACCGCAGTCGTTGTGTCGCCCTTGGTCTCGGTGTGTTCCTCCATGGCATCCGTGGCCACCGCATCTGTTGTGTCGCCCTTGGTCTCGGTGCGTTCCTCCATGTTATCCGTGGCCATGCCTGCATTACCACCTGCAGAGTCCCCTCTTCGGGTCTCACCTACGACTGCCCCCCCTGTCTCTGCTTCAGCCACTTCACCACCCTTGACTTCATCCCCCCCGCCTTCACCGCTTTTATTTCCCCTGGTTTTATCGCCGTCTGTTACCCATTTTCCGACTACTCTACCACCCCTGTCTTCACCACTCCTACCTCCCCTGGTTTTGTCTCCATCCGTTACCCCTCTTCCTAATCCACAAACCACTTCRTCCACACAGACTCCGTCATCATGTTCTGCCCCTGCAGAAAGCCCACTTCGCCGTCCTAGACGCCGACTTCGACCTACTTCCCAACCTCAGCTTACTCCCCTTTCCTCCATCT